AACGCTTAGGAAAACTACCATAGAAGATCGGATGTAATTACAATTTTCGTGTAGAATATGTATGAGGGTATTTACTGGATTAAATTGGTTCATGATAAGGCTCATCGAAGAGGTTTTGCGAACACGTTTTTACGTAAGTATTCGAGTTCCATTAAAACTGGGAATTTATTGGTAGCAGAGTATTCGTTTTTCAATAAATAGTTAGTTTGTTATTGTAGAAAAGATGCCGGTGAATAATGAATTGGGAAGACTAACTGATTCTGTTGGCCAAAGCGCCTGCCGCGTGCAGTGCAGTACCATTCTTCGTTTCGAACAAGAAGGCGGGTGGCTGTTATTTTGCGCGATAGCAAGGAATGAGAATTTCGCCAATCAATGTCAGTCATCCTTGCTGCTACTGAACTGAATTCTGTCTCGGCTTTCATAGCTTAATATAACTGTTCGGTCAAAACACTGTTTCATCCTGATATTTGATGTTGGTGAAGTTTTATTTTGCTTTTTTTTAAAATGTGAGGCAAATGTTGTAAGCGTTAGATTTTGCACAGACGATCTAAAGACGTAGAGTTTAATTACTTCGAGTGAAAGGTGGAGAATCCGGACTTGAATACGAAGTTGCCTAGTCTCGAGATCCCTGTGCTGATTGGTGTACAACCGCACTTTCGACTGGAAGATCTGGCAACATTGTAGCATTCTAGCACGACAAGCAGTTCCTTTTCTGCCGTCTTGTTCGTATCCTATAATAGCACTGTCTGGCGCTGCAGATGCATACCGCAACTGGGGGAGTGTTCCTGCCGGTCTTCTACGTCCATTGCCAGTCATGGTTTCATGAGTCACTGTTTTCTTTGCAGAATAAAATGCGCACGTTCTATTAGGTGGTAAAGACCTTTTGTTTTATTCCTATTTCATGGTGAAGGTTATTAGGTAGTCTGCAGATGGGTTATTCACACGCGAGTTCAAAAAATGACATGAAGGACATTGCATCCCAACATAAGATTCTTCGCTAATGCAACATAAAACCGGAAAGCTCAGTTGGTAAGTGACCACGATCAGAGTTCCAGTAGGAATAGGGTTTAAATCGGAATCATCCGCTTGTTACTAGGTGGCTTCTCCTTGGGGGGAGGGGTTCAAGAGGTAGGAGCCTGAAGCTAACTGTTCACCACCGTCTAGTACCGAGAGTAAGAATGTATGGAGTTTTTACTTTCATCCCCCTCGTACGCTTTCATGGCGTTGTTCAGAGGGAAATCTTTTTTACTGTCAATCCATCTTTCCAGGGCCACATCAGATCTTTTGTTTCTTCCTACTTAGGTCTGAATATTTTCCCGAGCATTTCATTTTCAAAACAGCCGTGTAAAGACACCACGTCTTGTAACCGTAGAAAACAGCTGTCTAAACTGTTTATGTGAAATTTGAGAAGCGTTGTTAAATCGTCTAAGAAGGAAACAAATTACAGTTCTATTCTAAGAAGACCGTCGTGTGAGCATCATTCATCTTCTATTTTTGGGCAGCACATACAAGACGGTTCTCCTAAGACACATTCTGCATGTCAATAGATTTATATAGACTCTCTCCATTCCGGGTTCATTAGCTGGGTACTAATCTATATAAGGCTTCTTGTGCTGAGAAGGTTGCTTACTTCATTACGTTCAGAGACATTGAACTTACTCTGTGTCAAGTTTACAAAATGCCTGGTGGCATTCAGTTAATATTTTTGTTTCTCGTTACATATTGTATCTAAAAATACAGAAATGCAAAACTTAAGTGTTATCCATTTTTCGTAAGGGTTCTGTAGACCAATCGACTTATTATCCCAGTAAAAACAACATAAATTACAGTTTCCTTTTTCAGTTACTAATATAAGCATTACGGAAAAAGCGTGTGTGTGTGTGTATATATATAATTCTGAAATGAGAAATCTCGTGATTTGACCATGTGAAATGGTGTTTCGTTTTCCAAAATAATTAAGGTTTTTACAATAAACATGATTTGAAGCTTGTATTCCTGCTTTATGCTTGTTTTAAAAATGATTTTTTTTTCTTTTTGCAATTTTACTTCATGCTACATTTATTTTTGTGTTAATTTATTGAATATACAAATATGTTATTGTAACGAAGTTCAAATATCTGGGAACGACAATAACAAATCAAAATGATATCATGAGGAAGTTAGGAGGAGACTAAATTCCGAAAATGCTTGCTACTTCTCAGTTCAAAATATTTTGTCTTCCCGTCTGATTTCTAAGAACCTGAAAATTAAAGTATACAAAACAATAATCTTGCCTGTTGTTTTGTATGGGTGCGAAACATGGTCTCTCACTCACTCAGAGGGAGGAACACAGATTGCAGGTGTTTGAGGAGGATATTTGGGCCTAGGAGAGAAGACAATGGGGCATGGAGAAAACTGCGTAATGATGAGCTTAAAAATCTGTACTCCTCCCCTGCTTTTACTTATAAGATACACTAATATTTAATTCTGTTCGGGTGCTCGGGTTTTTTCTTAGCCAGTTTAACGTACAGAATGACTCGTCTACTTACCACAAATTGATACTATAGTAGCTAATAAGAGTACTGTGGCTGATATCCAGCTTCCAGCGGTCGTCATTGCAGCGTGTGGCTGAGGTTCCTGTTCTAACCGGTCGTTGATGTCTCCGCGAGAGAATGTGTCTGTGTACGCTCCGCAGTATCCCGCGTCTTTTGTGCCCTCGGTTTGTAGTTAGCGGATATGACGAAGGGCAGAGGCGGGGTTGGGGGGTGTTGGCACTCTGAAATAAGGGGAACTGGGAACTTCATCTTCCCCTCTCCATCCCACTCCACTCATCACTAACGAATTAACGACGCTGGTCAGGTGCAGCCATGTTTGTGTGATCATAAATACACGCTCGCTCATCTGTCTCATCTGACAGGAAGAAAATATTTTTAGAAATGTCTGCGTTGGTTAGCTATGTTATGAATCATTCTTAGTAAACCCCTTGAGGTCGTCGAAATAGTAAATAAGATTCAGTCCATACCGCAAAAAAGTCACCTTTACAAAGATCAACTGGTTAACGCTGTTTATTCCAAGAATCATAAGAATCCATAAATGCAAAATGGCTGACTTTTAAAGCAGCTGCTACATGTAGTTACCATTCGGCTTTAAATAGTTAATGTAGGATGAAATGGGCTGGACATGTAACACATGAAGACGCTCCAGTGAGTATCGGAGGAGGTCCCCCGAGTAGAAGCGGTCGGAGTTGGAGGCTTCCATCCATTGCCAAGATTAATAGTACTTGGATGAAGATGGCTTTCTTCTGGGATGTTGCGCCGTGACCGACGATTCAGAAGTGCTTACTCACTCTACTATTACGGTCCTGATGATGAAGACAGTAAGCACCTCTGAAACGTCTTGTCAATATCTGCCAGACTACACAGCGCAGCACCCCAGAAAACAGCTATCTTCACACTCGTAGCCGCGAGAACCTGAAATCTCGCAGATAATACGTGAAGATTTGTGTCCACTTTCTCAGTATGGGCCATTGCTTAGGCAGAACAACTCTGCCTTTGCATAAAAACCAGAAGATAGTTCTTGAATACAGTATCTACAATTTACAATTTTAGTTGGCCTTGAAATTCTCCAGACGGCGTTATAATCGCTGTAGTGGCATGTACCTGTGTACCTTAACAGTCGATTAACATACTCAGACACCCTTTCCTCTAACAATAGGATTCTGAAGACGTTGCCTAAGGCAGCCAATTCCATCTTAACTACCTGTCAGTGTTCTCTATATGAAATACGTTGTCTGTGCAGCACAGACTACAAAACTTTGCCATACGAGTGTATAATGGGTCGTCTGATTTTCTATAAATGTGATCTGTTTGTCTTTTGCGTTGTGTAGTCTCGTCCAATATAAATATGCTTGGGGAATATTCTGCCTCCGTCCTCCGGGTTGAAGGTGCAACAATTGATTTTATATTCTAATTGAAATTATCAGGCTTTTCAGTCGAAAACAAAACAAGTTCTGGAAAGAACACAGAGTGAACGACAATGCAACTAAATCTGTCTCCTGTCCGGCTTCAGATTGAACGACCGGGGTTTGATTTCCGACGCTGCCAGTAGGTCATATTTTTTACGTCGCGTGATCGGATGATTAGTGAGCAATGAATTGGAAAGGACATGGGAAGAACCGATCGTGGTGTTAATTTAAGGTACTATATCCAGAATTTGCTGGAGGGCCTGAGGAAAACCATGAAACTCACTTTGTGCAAGTAATGCGTGCCTAGTGAATGAAAACTGTGACATGCAACTGCAGTCTACATTCTCGCGTCGTGGAAACCACTTCAGTTACACTTTACTGTTACAGCTGCTTTCACGCGGGCTTCATTATACAGTCAGGATCACTAGTTTAATAAGACGATCGTGTGTTTGTGTTTATGTGTAACTGTACCGCGTGACCGTGGGTAATGGAATGTTGAGAGATCAGGTTTTGAAGAGCCTCCAGAGGGCCTCGTCGTGAACCTTCAGCGCCAAGTGATGCCTTGGACATCCGCACAGCAAATGCATCTGTTGGGAGCAAATCAGGCCGGGGTTCGTTTTGTTGGCGGTGGAAATATTTTCATATTACGTGGTCCCTCCAGTGGCTTTTCGTTTGTGTAATCCAGTCCTCGAAAATACTTTGCCTCTAACACGCAACTAATGAATCAACTGGATCACTCTCACCATTGACCAGAGACCCTCATGAGAAGTTCATAATCGTTCAGCTATTGAACACCGTTAATAACAAAGCTTCCCATTGAACACTCCTAACCCAGTTCTATCCAATCCCATTATCATAACCCCTTTTTCCTAAAATCTCTCCATACTCTGTTTTCACATCTCGGTCTTCCAAGTGGACGTTTTCCAAGAGGTATTTTCATCATATTTATTACCCCTTACAATCTTTGACTTACAAGTGGAGGAAACCAAAATTTATTTCTACGCCTTGTCCTTGCTTTTAGGAAAAAAAAAACGCACACAGCGTAGTCTCAACAAAATCCACACCTCGACTTATCAGCCTAGAGCTGTCTTCACAAAATCGAGCTCCCAACTGGGGGAAAAAAAAACCCCGCAGACAATGCGTTTATTTCACCGTCCGTGTGGACAGGCAAAAAGGAATATGCAGTTGCGGTAGTTTTACCGCTGCGGCAGGAAAACCGCTCGTCCGCTCTAGCCCTTTGTCTATATGCGTGGCATGCAGTTCCGCTCCTAGACAGGGCATTGTCTTCAGCACGTGACTTCCGTTTCTGCGTTCCCCTCTTAACAAACAACCGGGCGATGACTAATACGCAACTAGCACGTCCAGGTGCTGTCTTCTGGTTTTCTTTTAAATAATCCTTTTCGTTCCGTAGCAGCATAACACTCGAAAAATAAATTTGGTTTTAGATTGATTGATCCAAAAATTTTAAGCTGGGATTTCCAAATACTATCAGAATTGAATTCATTCAAGGTGTTAGTCAGTAAAGTGCTGACAGAGAATTTTTTGAGCTGAAAGGCGGATGTAACAAAGGGAATGGAGATAATTACAAAACGAGGAGGTTCATAACGTTCAATCGATATAAATAAAGTGTGACGAGATGGGCGGGTCATTTAGTACGAATGGGAATACGAAACATGCTTACAAAATTGTAGTCAGAAATTCTGAATGACATTGGCGTGGATGGGAGAATAATATTAAAATGCATGCTAAAGAAATTTGGTGTGGTCCGTATTTAATTGGTTCAAGATGGGTTGTAGTGGCTGGCTCTCTGAACAAGATGGCTCCATACGGAGCATGGAACTCCTTGACGAGCTGAGCCACTGCCAGTTTCTCTAGAAGGATTTTTGTCTGTGAGGCTAGTGAGTGAGTTTATATAAGCTCTAGAGTTGAAGAAAACATCCTTAATCGTATTTATATTAACCAGATATCTCGCGAAGAAACACAGCCTCTTCTGCTCGAAACAACTTTGTTTTTATGTAAGTGAAAATGAAAGGTTAAATAACATGAAACATCAGTCTATAAGATGATTGCTGTCTTCTGGGTTGTTGCACCGTGTAGTCTGGTAGATTTCCACCGACGTTTCAGAGGTCATGAATTCATCGCCCTGATGACGGAGGCAGCATGACATAGTTTCTATGGTTGCTATCTTTCACCTGCTGATATTTTGAAATCTGAGAGGTTTGCTTGACACAAGCGTCTGATTCGACGCCACGGAAAGACCATGGCGCGATGTGATCATAAATCCAATGAAAGGCTGTCACCAGAACTTGTGGTCTTTGCCCTAAGTGCATGGAGCGAACCAGTTCTATTGTCTGACGTCTTTAATATCCGAAACGAATGAATTTCGATTAAATTTGTACTGGCATCTGCTATAAAACATGTCGGAGGATATTTTATCTGTACGATGTAATAACATGAAGTTCAAATGTAAAATAGGTTTTCTCAAAAGCGGATCATAATAAAAGACATGGCAAGACAAAAAATGTAATCAAATGACTGTATATTGACTGAAGTATGGAGTTCGAGTCCCTTCAGTGGCTGAAACTGATTTCTTTCCCAGACTGACTATGCAGTCCGCACAACATCGTATCCAGTGAATGCCTTGCGATCGATTCTCGACTCCCGTCTCATGTCAAGGTCTAGAATGCATGGAACTTTACCTCCGCGCTTCATGTACCGTTTATGTTATGATGACAAGGCACAGGAAAGATGTCTCCTTTTGATTTTCACTCGCTCCTCGCTGAAGTAATGCACCAATCCGTCACTCCCCCCATTTAATTTTCTGATCTCATTCTAAAAAAACGCTGAATTCTTCAATTATTTGATCCAACAACCACCTGTTAAACATTTGACAGCATTTTTTTCACTCTACCCTTTTCGGTTTTATTTTATTAGAATTTAATTACATATATTTGGGTGTTAGCATTCCTTCTTATTCAAAAGGTACCGTCGGTATTCTCGATTCGGAGGCCGTATACCCTGACAGGTTTCAGCGGTTTACCTCAGTTACTCTAAGCATGTAGGCCTACTGGTATAGTGCCGTAAGGTAGACCTCTCCATTTCATTATCCGCGATGCTATTGTTTGACTTAAGTTGTTAAAAAGGGGTATCAGGTAACACCATCCGCCAGTCGGCACTGCATTCCTCGTCTGTGACATCACAAGCAGCGAGTTCAGAAGTCGATGTCCAGCTGGAGGTTGGTAAACCTTCTCCCTATTTGGTCTTTAAAGCAGTTCGCGGTCTTCACACTAATGGCTGGACTCACCGTCAGACATGAAAAACTTGTATTTTGTGCCATCAATGACAGTGCAGATTGCAAGTTCCTTACCACGGGGTGTATTTTTATACAGCGCTTAAGGCAGTATCTACAAGTGAAGTCGAGAAAAGCGACCCAGTTAGCAACATGGAGTAGACACTCAAAGATAAAGTAATCCCTGAACATTATCCCCACGCCAGGAAGTGGTATAAGGAAGTAACTCCACACTGTGATGGCCGAGACGGTCTTGTCTCTGTCGTGAATCGACCCAAAGACATTCAACCACTAAACTAAACTGTCTTAGAATTAAAGTGAAGGAAACTTTTTTGATTCTTTGCAAGTAATAATATTGGTTGTATGCATCAGTTAATTTATATTGGGGATGTGCAAATATCCAGAATTTGAAATTGCAATTATAATGTAAAGGCAGCAGACGAGTCCTTCAAAGACGTAGCAAATTTCACGTATTAGAAATAACAAAATATCAAAATTACAGTCGCGATTATGTTAAGAGCAGATTGAATTCCGAGAATGCTTACTACTATTTTATTCATAAGCCTTATCTTCTTGTCTTCTATGTAAGAATGCAAGATTAATATATAAAAAACTATGAGCTTTTGTGGCCATGAGTGCAGAAAATAGATTGAAGGAGTTTGAGAACAGGGTGCTGAAGAGAATATTTTGACCCAAGGGATAGAAATTAACAGGAGAATGACAAAAATTCCACACAAGAAAATTCTTTACCAAATATTATTTAAGAAAATTAGGTCATGGGAGATAAGGTGGACGGAACGTGTAATATGCATGGAACAGATGCGAAATGCATACAAAATTTCAGTAGGAATATATGAAGGGAGACGTCGGCTAAGTACATTTATACCGCTGAAGGTTCTTCGAAATGAATAATCTTTTTGTGGAGCTTTGTCTGTCTGTACAGTTATATTCTTGAATTACTCTGTTTCATTTATTCCTTTTTAGCCACCGATGTGGTCTGACAAATGAGGATCTTAATCGCCGTTGGAGCCACCCTAACAAGTATCTGCATCCTGTTATCTACCATACCAAAGTAAGTTTATGTATATTAATAAGCAGAAGTTTGTGTACCGAAAACCCACAAATGCTAATTTAGTCTTACAAATAGGTACAAAATGTATTCCTGCCTTTAATGGAACATGAATATTCACAAGAGCCCACCGCTGATCCTTATCATGTGCCTGGTGAATCCACACCTGCCGGCCTTATTTTTATTGTCTGTTGTAACTAGTAGGCCATGCATGAGTGAACAGACATCTGTTTCCATGCACAAACCACAACAGAATTAGTTCAACATCCACCCTCATTTTCTTACATTCGTCTAGAAACCACAGGAAATGACTTTCATCAAGGCCCATTACGTCTTCGATGATGTCTGTACCAAATTTTATGAAAATCCGTCTAACCACGCTCTAGCTACTAAATGCGCACAGACGGATAAGCTGCGAAGAGGCTGGGTTAGGTCAGTAGTGCGCATGCCCTGAGGTTAATTGGTAATGCCGTCATAGCCTCCCCACCGTACGACTTTGAATATCTGCGACGTTGGTAATCTAACCATTTTCTAGCTATTTAATGCGCACAGATGGATGAGTTATGAAGAAGATGGCTCTCTTCTGGGTGTTTCGTCATGTAGTCTGATAACGTCAGGCCAATGATACGTATGCGCAGAGGTTCTTTGGTAATGGTGTCATCGTCATTCCACCTCACAACTTTGCGCATGCGTCAGGTTGGTAGGACAAATTGTGGGAATTTAAAAAGTGTGAGTTTGGACTAATCTATGATGGCATAACGTCCACAACAAATTTCATGAACATCCATGCAGTTATTCTTTAGTCACTGAATGCTTACACGTGAATATCATGGGCAATGGTGTTATGAGAGACGTGGTGAGGATGGGCAGAGAATGATGGTTAATGGTGTCATTATTGCATCATATTATTTGCTTCTTCACAAAAGCTGGCAAGAGTTGTCTCTTCTTGAACTTTATTCCATATTGTTTCTTTTCTAGGGTCTACTTGAATACTGTGTATTTGTTTTAAAGAAACCACCATATGTGTTCTGTGATTACCATGGACATTCACGTCGTAAGAACGTGTTCTTATATGGATGTTCAAATTCTGATAGTTGGAGTGACATAGATCGTTCGGTGCCCGACAATCCTGCAGATTACCTCGTGAGTATTACTGCTTTAAGTGCAAGAGGTACAATATAGGCAGGATTTAAGTATGTCCGTGCATAAAGAGAATTACAATTTTAATGTAACGGCACAGTTGAAAAATATTAATTTTATAGTATATGCATCTGCTTAATTTTCATTGCCATTCAGTAATTATAGTGCTGTAATAATACATTTAACACATTGCCTCTGTTGATGGACTGCATGAAAGAAAAATACAATGATTTGTGATCTGACTTATGTGATCATAGCATGTAATGACTAGTGAAGTTAGGGAATGACATGGAATATGGCAATAACTATATGAGCCAAATGCAAGTTTGGTAAATGGTAGGAAGAGTGAAAGGAAGGAGGTGAATGTTTAGAATTTTATGGATTGCCATTGACTGTAATATGTATTAAGGTTAAGGGACAGATCACTTGTATTTGAGACAACTGAAGAATTAGCATTGATGGAACTGTTTTAAATAAGCCATCAGTCATGGAAGGAACTGATATTAGAATGGCTTAAGACACAACTAAAAACGTTTTATTCCATGTCATACAGCTACTCCCTCATCTGATGCAACACTTCTCTCCTGCATTTTCTCTGCAACTGTGCAGCTTCAGGGTTGAACGTGAACGAGAGTCAACAGCTCGAGTTACTCTGTGGCGTGAGTTTGGTATCAAACGGAGCTACACAATGGAGAGTAGTTACTGTGGTTGTGACCAGGGACTGTATGAGGTATGAAGACATTTGGTACTTACAGATGAACAGAGCAATAGCATAATGATGTTCCTGTCAGATAAGAGACCTGTGTTCAATTATGCCTTATAATTATAAATACAAATGAGTAGTTGGTATTAAATTAAAAATATAGAGTACTGCAGATTAAAACTGACATTTATTTAAATTAATTTGCACTGTAATTAAATGTGACCCCTGATGTTTTCTAAAATATGAAGTAAGTAAACCAACAGTGACTCAGTAACAACAGTGAGAGGCATTAAATCAAAATACACTGTGTGATACACAGAAATAATAGGAAGACTTATGGTACCTATTTCCCTTCATATTTTATTCTAGAAAGTGAGACTACCAATAACTACAAACTTACATATGTACAATTCAGTAATTTATTTCTGTGTATAATTTCTACTATTACAGATTCCAACAATGTTAAATTTTCTAAATATAACCTCCACATTTTATCACTGCTGTGTTTGTAATTGTGAACATATTAAACAATATTGTAAAATTATACATTGTACACTTAACAGGTATTTTTGGCAGATAAGCTGAAAAAATTCATGCTGTTACATAAAATGATCATTAAAATTGCCCAGTTTAAAATAAAATTGGCATTGATAGTTTTTCATAAAATTATCCAATATGACATGTAATCCAAATCAGTTTATCCATTCTCAAGTTATGTTACGCAAACAGATTTTAATAGGCCCTCTGAAAGATTCAGATGTACCTAAAATGGTACATACTATTTTTATAGAAGTGTTTATGATCTATCTCAGTACACTTCACAAGCCCACCTCTGTTGTTTTGTCAGTTATTGTCACAACAATGAAAGCTAAATATAGATTTTACTTTGCAACCATGATGTTTTGAATTTTACAATAAACATTACCACACCAAATTCATAAGCCTATATTAAGTGCTGTCACCCTCGGTGGACTAGTGGTTAGCGTGCTTGCAACTGGACCCAAGGTTCGTGGGTTCAAACCTGGCCGATGTTGATAGATTTATGGCTTGTAAAAGAACCTTGCGAGCATGAACGAGATGTTTTGTAAGCAAAACTTCAGCGGCTATTTTTCAACCAAGTCTCTCCTGGTTCACCACTAGATGGCTCTAGCAGACAACTCAAGATTGAGTAGAAATTGTGAAGAGGCAGTCTGCTTGTCACTCACTACTCATAAATGCACACTTCAAAAGACAAAGAAACCTCCCACATGGAAGGAGGCCAAGGCTCAGCTTCCAGGTGTTGTGCCATAGAGTCAGTCAGTCACATTAAGTGTGAGTCCCACCTCAGAAGTTCAAACAGACACCACATTGTTATCATCGATGGTATGAAAGGCGAAATGGCTTCTATTGTCATTACATTTGCACCATGTTTCATCTATAAGTTTAAAATTTATTAGGAGGGAACATCACACAGTTGAACACCTGGACATTCTGTTATAGTAAGCCTCTGTTTTGAAGAAAAAAAAAAAAAGAGAGAGAGAGAGAGAGTCTTTCCATGTTTCAGAGTTTTACTCTGTACTCTGTTCCTGTCTCGTAAATAATATTAGTTGAAGAGAATGTGCATGTTGTTATCTTAAGGTGCGTGATTGCTTTGCAGGGATACCATGTGAACACAATATGCTTGAAGGAGATTGGAGAACATTTCTGTGATGCTCTCGCCTGTCTGCACAATGAGTCATGCTGGAGGAAAGATGTGACTACATGCAGTCCGGGACCATTAAGGTTATTATAAATCAAATAATTTTTAGTAGCAAAACTTGAAAATTCAGTGACACTAAAGTCAAAGCCCACCACTGAACATGCTTCTGAACTGTTTCCAGTCACTTCCCATCCTCATAACCTTTTCACTAAAATTCACCTTCATGTCATCCTACTATCTAATTTTCAGCTTTTTTTTATGAACTTGTTAACTGCACTTGCTTCTAAGTAAAAGAGAATTTTTGTACCCATACAAAACAACTCACTTGCTCACTTACTCTATGGTGTAGAACAGTGGTCCCCAACCTTTTTGTGCCTACGGGCACATTTGAGAGTTTATGAGATCGTGGCGGGCACCAACCAATTAACAAAGCCAAATTTTCTTTTCTCTGGACAAATAACATATGGACACAAAATAATACATAAAACAACACCACATTAAATGATACATGCAATCAAAAATACGTACTTTTATAAGTACAGTTATTATTATTCAAGTGGGAAGTTAGTGTGATGTTTGGCACTGCATTTCATCAGCCAGTTTTTCAAATTTGGGAGTGTAGGATGATGTTGCTGCTTGCAAACAACCGTCAAGATGGGCGTCAGTAAGTAGAGATCTGTGCTTTGATTCTATGATGTTCATGGTTGAACGGCCTTCATTATTCAGTATAACCTCTTTCTGTATCTACGCGGGCACCCAAAAAAAGCCTTGACGCCTGCGGGCACCGCGTTGGGGACCACTGGTGTAGGATATTTCCTGAAAAGTATATAGTATACTTGGCTTGTCAAAGAATAGCCCCATACAAATAACTAATAAAATTATTACCAGCAATCTGAAGTCATAGTAAATTTCTTCATTTTGACAGCCATAACCCCCTTCTGTCTAACTTTAAAAGGTGCACTGTGGGTGTTGGCAACTGTATTTTAATTGAAAAAGGCATAATACTGGGTTGTGGGATAGCTCTTTGGTCTTTCAGTAGACTTGCCATCCAGGTTTATTGGTACACATTATCATTCAGTGACTTTTGTACCAGACTAGATTACTTTAACCATAGATTCTTCTCTTCTGCCCTGCTATTTGCACTCTTACATGATAGCCCTTTGTATTTTCCCTCAGTTTCTTCCACATCCAGCTTCTAGTCCACATAGTGGTTGCATACCAAAAGGGTATTTCAACATATTTACATAATCAGTGGGATGTATGGCATGTCAGACGGGCATAATGCTGATGACTGGTCTACAGATACACAGTTACATTGGGAATATGAGCACTAATACTGTATACTTTTAAAATCAAATAACTATGAGAATTTAGTCTCCTGTAAATCATTTTGTTGATATGCCCTCAATATTAACTGTTTATGCCGTCAACCATGTGTAACTCACATTCATACCATTGTATTCTTAATTTTGTCCATGTTTATTTTAGTGTATCTGACTGCCTAAAGTCCTGGTTTTAGATTTTATCTCTGTAATTTCTTAATACTTTGTAGGAACTTCATCTGTACTGCTATGTTTCTGCTTCATATGTAAAATGTAACAAGGTAACAATGGTTCTAGGTTAGATCTACAAGGGACACTTACAGGACCTGGCCCTGAAGTCATTGAGTCAGAGCGAAGTGATTGCAGTGAATGTGAAGAAGAGCATTGTTGATATATGAAATTATAGTTACATAAATTGATTTGTTTGAAGTTATACTCTTTCAGGACTAAGGTAATTTCAGTATTTTCAGTAGTGTGATATCAATGTTTTTTTTAATACAGAGCTTACTTTCATAATATTGTAAATCTGTTAGTGTAAAATATTTTACTGTTACTAATATACACATTTCAGATATGAATGTAATATCAGTGTTAGTCTCATTTGCATCAGATTACTTGTAAACTAATAATTAAGTTATATAATATTGTTAAACACGTGGAAGTGAATTGTACAATTGGATTCATAGATTAGGAAACAGTGTTCTGTTAAAATAAAGTTCAGATGTGTTGATATTAATATATTCCATTCCTGTGCATATACAGTGAGCAGTTCCTAATTAGTTCTAGTTTTCCAACACACACTGTACATTACAGTGATTCTGGACCAGACAAAGAAGATAAGAAGCTACAGAGACTCCAGTTTATCATGAGATGTTGACACTAACCACCTCTAAGAAGTGTCCCAGCTGGGATATCAACCAGCTTCCAGACATGCAACAAGTTTCTTTAATGCTCAAATTTTAGGAGTCAAACTGAGATTTCTAAAAAAACAAAACATTTTCCTTTTAATGAGACTATCTAGAATTGTGGCTGCTAACTGACCCTATCATTCATCCCCCAAATATGTGAATGTACATGAATCAGGTATAGAAACACAGAGTAGAACATGACCTAGTGCCACCCTGTCCCCTACAAATCCCATATGACCTGTAAAAACAAGCTTAACATATGGAAGTGAATGTTGGACCCTTAGGTCTAGACAGACAGGTTCTGATGTAGAAATTTGATTTTTATGTAGATTGACAGGAGTAACATTGAGAGAATGCAAGGGCAGCAAAAAATATAAGGAACCAGTTTTTTTACCAAGCTTAAATTGTTCTTAATGCACTAATAAAATAACAATAGAGTAAGAAAAATGCTCCCAACCACCTACTTGCCATCTACTAATCATAGCACTGAATCTAACCAGAACACTAGCCCATGAAATTTACACAACTTCTCTTCTTATTTTGATCTACCCTCCAATGACCAGTTCCGACATGTCAACGGCCATGGCAGTGGACTCCTCCATCTGGTTCCATTGCACCATTGATCTCATGACGGATTTAATAACTGAAACAACCTCTTTGCTCCCTTCACCCTTGTGCCGCATGTTCTTCAAGCAAATAGGGATTACAACTGACAACAGAGCTTTGATGATGGTCACTTGCACTTCAATGCCCAGGTTTTCCAATTTGGAAAAAATTCCAGAAGTGAAGCTGGCTTCTATTTTGTTGTCCCTCCTCTTCAGACTGTTGTAGGAGTCGTTCATTATGTGGAAAATCATCATGATGTGGGCTTCACCTTTTTTCAGACCAAGAACACTGTGAGGCTTCACTTTTGGTATACACACCATGTACATGAAGCTCTTTTCAATGCCCTGCAGTTTGTGTTCAATCAAGACTCTATTGACTTTGTTAACTGATGATTCTGTTGCCATTGCCTGCCATCCTATGTTTAAACCCAAAGCTGGAACATCATCTTTGTCCATCAAAATGGCTGCAGTTTCCCTAGCTGTGGCTACTGCAACCCTGCCGTGTGTGAATGCTACATTGCCCTTGTCATCATCTCGAGTTGGGAAGTAGATAGAGATTGAAACACCAGATGTACAGTTGAGGGTCATCCGTTTTCCTTTATATTCTTTTTTGTACCAAAGTCCATTCCTGATCAACTCAATTCCTATTTCTGCCTTGTCAAGAGAGCTGAACTTTTCAAAAATGTCATCCAAGTTGAACTCTTCACTTTTATTGGTCAATCTTTTATAGTCATTGGAAACAGAGCCACAGGCAACGTTAAGTGCATCTTTGGCATAAATAGCCTGATTATTCATTATTCTCATTGAATTCAATTTGGATTTCATGACTCCCATCAAGGATACAGCAATCTTTGTGGGAGCCCTAGCAGCTGACAGAACAAAAATGTACCGAAGGAAGGTCACCGCTGAGATGTATGTTGGTTTCTCTCTCAGCAATTTGGCAACTGGAAATTTTTTCAAATAATCTAGATCGAGATGTATGTTGGTTTCTCTCTCAGCAACTTGGCAAATGGAAAATTTTTCAAATAATCTAGATCAATTCCAGAAGCCTTATTTTCTTCTATTTGTGGCGTTGTATAGTAGTCAGAATCCTCGTATTTTGAAAGGACTAGCCCTTCGTAATTTTCCGTCCATAGTTGCAATATTAAGACATTAAATTCGTCATGCAGTTCCTTCCGTGTGTTATTGTCTATCTCCGCAATTATACTAGGTTTTTTTGCTGATGCCATTTCTAACACTTTGGGACTTATGCGACTTTAAGTATATCTTGTTTGTGACCACGACCAGCAATGTCTACAAGACAGATCTCAATATAAATGTATACATACAGTTAGGGGTACTGCGGAATGTATCTCGATTGTTTTGGAAGACAGTTAAATCTTCAACTATTACCACGTATCACCAACAACACATTACTTTCATAGTTTCCTCATTTTTATACACACAAAACAAATATTTGCCACGTATCAACTGTTCATTTCACCTTCGGCAAACATGAATTGGAGCACGAATGAACCCGAAAGAATCCGGAAGTAGACGAATACTAAAGTCACCGAATAAAACAGTAACTTACATCTAAGGTTGGTGTCCCTGGCTAACATATGTGTATGGAAACACTCTCGGCAGGTGCACTGCACGGAGCGAGAAGGTGACGTCGTAATAAGTGCCTAGACTGGAGGATTTAGAATTTAACACTTTTTTCCACCTTATCGTCTTCTTTCCCTTTTCTGGAACAGGTTTATTGCGCTGAGTATGACACATAGGCGTGAAGTTTCTATCCGCCATTTGTGGAGTTATCTGAGCGGAGCGAACAAAGTGTGAATATGCTAATATGGCTTTTACAAGTAAGTATAATATACCAGCTTCGGTATTATTTATTTCTTTTAAAATGTTTAATACCCTTTCTCATTTTCTTCTCAGTCTTTAAGGTATTCGTTCATATTTTTTAATAATAAATTCCCAATGCAAATCCTTAAAGAAGATAATTAAGTATATCGTCGTCTTCTGGGTTATGACACTGTGTGGTCTTGAATATGGTTACCAGTGTTTCGGTGTTACTCCGAAAACTTGGTGACCGTGACCATCACCAGAGCTCAGAATACCATGATCGACTTTTCAACGTGGAGAGCGGCACTATCCGTTTAACAACAACAAAACTCGTGGGATAATATGTAAATTATGAGCAGTTTAAAAAATTGCATTAACGTTTCTAAAAGAGAGGCTGAACTAAGTTTATTCAAACCACGAAACTATAATGCCCCACTAACCTTTCCTCTTGCTGACCCCAGTTATGCCTTAATTTTGGAGGGGGGGGGGGGGTTGCGCTATAGCGCAAGAAGTTTGTCACCGGCTTTCCGCAGAGGTTTGGTTTCGCTTCATATGGGATTTTTGGTTGGCAAAGTGGCACTGGAATAGGTTTCTCTCCGTCAATATCCACTTCACTCTGTGACCACAAAAATTCACTCAGATTTGATGGGATCGAACCAAAAACCTAATAGATGACAGCTGTGCAGTGTCCTGCCTGAAGAACCATCAGGTCTTGTTGGTATTGAAAGCAGTTATGAAGTATATAGAGTCTTTTCTGAATATTGTCTTCTATATCCTTAAATACACACCAAAGCAAAAAGTAAAACTGTCCCATTATACACCATGTCGGCGCTTGCGGGGAGAGTAGTACAGCTCTTACTCATTCTTGACCTCAGCACTAGATGGGGGTGAGTGGTCAGCATCAAGCACTGGCTGCACTTTACCCCCAGGAAAGGACCTCAGTACCCATTGGATAGGAGGCTGGGTGGGCCCCAGAACTCATATGGACACATCAATAAATTAAGTCAATAATGATATACAAATTTATTACTAAGGTACTTAGCCCACATAGGTCTATTTTAATTTACATAGCATGAGACATAACAAAATCAAATCTATAAAGTGTACATGTAATTAACTGACTGACTGACTAACTCACTTACTCTATGGAGCAGTCCTTGAGAAGTTTTTGTAACTCAGTTAGCCAAGAAATTCCCTGTCATATATGGAAACCAAAGGTTCATTACTGTGTTTACCACTGCATGCAGAATTTTAGTGGGAATTTCATGAACAGCCACTTGAGAAGGAAACAGGAGGGTAAAATAAAGAATGACTAGGTAAATAGGATGTGAGGATTAGAGGTGTATGGAATTATCTTAGTATTATGTCCACATTATTTATTTATACTAAATAAATTTGAACATTTGGTTTTGTATCCTTTTCAGAAGACACTGTTGTGGTTACTGGTTTCGGACCATTTAAAAATTACAAAATAAATGCAAGCTGGGAGGCAGTAAAACTTCTGCCATCAATGAACATTGAGGAGGAGTTTGGCATAAAGTTGATCATTCATGAAATTCCTGTAACATATGGGTATGTTACAGAGAATGTTCCAGTTCTTTGGAGAGTTCATAACCCAATGGTATGCATACTTTTTGGTTTACTTACAGACCCCTGTCATACATTCAACAGCATGGATGTTCTTATTGGCCACGTACCACAGTTCATGCATTGTCAAGCTGGCCATGTGTTGCAGTAATTTGCAATTAAAAATTGCAGAAATGCTCCTGTTAATTATGCCTTGTTTGTTTGTCTGTACATCAATAACAGATGTATATGTTCTTTTGCACATTTAAGTGACTAGGTTGTCAAAGGTCAAATTCTGCTGAATGCACCAGAATTGGTATCTCATGTGCCTACATTTCCTGACATTTTCATTCTTTCCCAAGTCTCTCCAGGCAAATAGGTTGTGTATGTCCTCTTGTAACCCAAAAAATTCAGTTTTGAAACTTCTTCTGTTACCTTATTGGTCCCAAAATATTTTCACTCGCAACAAGCCTTCAGCTATGCTGTCTTGGACAGGAATGTTGTCTGCTCTTTCATTGTTTTGGTATAACATATAATTTTAATTCTGTCTTCAACTTTATTTTTGTTTTGCCAAAGCTAGTTGTGCATGTGGGTGTGTCTGGCCTTGCAACTGGTTTGACTCTGGAACAAGAGGCACACAAGTCAGGGTACTGTAAAACTGATGTAGAAGGGAAATTACCTCCAAGAAATGAAGTCGGTAGTGGCAAAGCTGAAGTAATTCGGCCTTTGTTTGATGTTGAGGATGTATGCAAAGAAGTAGACAATACCGAAATAGGAATTCCCACCTTCTGCTCTTCAAATGCTGGAAGGTGAGTGAGTGTTCATTGGTTCATCTCAGATTGAGATTCTCTGCATATCAATTTGTATATAAGACCTGAAAAATAATCTGTAACAACTTAAACATATAATTTTATTATTCAGATGTTAAATAGAATATTGTGAGCCATGATTCTGTGTAAAAAGTTTGTGATGACCTTCCATTGGAATTTGTAGAATAAAGGAACTTCAGAGAATCCTGAAATTTAACTCAGGCAAATTTAATCAGTATGAAATAGACTCAGAACATAATTTGTGGAGCCTTATGGCAAAATAATGAAATACACTGTATTTACTCAAATAATTGCTTCTGTCTGACTTATGAGGATGTAAAAGATAAGTTCTTGTATTACATAATTGCCTTTGACACAGTGGTTATCATTATTTAAGCTGCTGTCTGCCTTCTTTTGCTGCCTCAATCAGCAGATTTATGGGTGATTCTAATTCCAGGCAAGAAACAGCCTTTTCCTATCTCTGTATTCATAACTGTTATCGCGTTGGAGACACTGATATCATTTACTTGACTCTGTGTTCTTCATAGTGCAATTTTGCTTTCGCTTCCCGTTCATGTCACAGTAGACTGTATACCTGCCTTTATAGTGTCATGTCAGTACGAAAGTTAACTTTGAAGTTTCTGTCTTTAAAAAACGTGAATAATTAAATTCAGTTATTGTTCAGTTTCATTCATTCCCACATGATTACTTTTACATTACAAGGGGAAACTTGCATAATTACCCCAACCATTTTTAATATTAAAAACTGTGTACAAAGTAAAGTAATTATGTTAGTAAATATAGTAATTTCTTTCATTGCATGCAGAATAAAATACTATTCAACAATATTATGAAAACTCTCTGAAATCTAGTTAGGACATGTTAGAACAAAGTTATGATAAACATATCGTGTGACTTGATTTTTTCTTTCTTCAGATATCTTTGTGAATTTACATACTTCACATCTCTGAACATCGATAACTTGCGCACTATCTTCATTCATGTGCCAGAGCTAAACAATCCATTCAGTGCAGCTGATTTGGCAAAAGGAATTAAGGCCATACTACGCATTTTAATTAAAAAACTGAGAGCTCAGAGTTCAGATGATTATCTCAATAATGAAGTGTGCTCAGTACAAATTAAATGATTTTCACTTTTGTGGTTATGATATTTTGTAAGAGATGTGCAATTACAGTATTATATACTGTGAATGATTGAATACATTTAAATGTAAAATAAAAGGCAATGATCCTGAAATAATAAAGTATACAACTCTAAGTTTTGTAAGTACGTAGGAAGTAAAAGAGTGGAAGTGTTAAAAAATAAATCACAGAAACAGGAAGATTCTATCAATTAGTGAGGGAACAACAAGAAGACAAAAGGGTTTGATATAAACTAAACTACTGTTATTCTGAGACCAGCCAAGTGCCAGATTACAGATGAAGCCCTTAACTTAGGAATGATATTATGATAAAGTCCTGCTTGGTCAGGGCTTGTTGCACATCTTATGGGACAATGATAGTATAGAGCAGTGGTGTAATGACAATTAGCAGTGCAAAATGAAGAACTCTGAGAAAAACATGCCCCAGTGCACTCTGTCCATCACAAATCTCACTTGAAGTCACCTGGGATTGAACCTGGGTCTCCATGGTGAGAAGCCAGCATCTAGCACATTAGCAGCTATGGCACAGTCTGAAAGGAGTTTATATATGAGACTGAAATATATGTTTCTTAAAATATGTTTTATTATGTACACATTATTCCAATTCGCAACAAAAGTAATGTCCTGTACATTTTAATCTTGGATTAAAGCCGCATGCTTAATCTCGATACAATCTTCTGCATTATCAGCAGACTCCATCAACAAAATGTTACCTTCCATTTCATGAAGAATCTTCTATAGGCAACGACTTTTTTTTTTTTTGTACTGACACTTGAATTGGTTTGTAGACAGCAAAATTACATCTTATTTGTAAAAACCAAGAAAGTAAATCTTTATAACTTAACACCGTGGCAACAACACACTGATATCTTCCTGTGACATAATGACAAAATACTTAAATGGAATGACCAATGTCAGGAAAAATGTACTGTTGACATTTTTATTATAGTGGCCTGAACACTTATGCACAACAAGGAAAGCATTTTTGATTCATGTTTCAGTAAAAATAAAGGCATTAATGTCTGAAAGGGATTCTGCTCTCTATGAAATCCATGGAACTAGAATGGAGAATGGAAACAGTTGTTCCTAAAATTCGTGTATAATCATGTCACAAATGCAGCATTATAATTATACTTCCAAGAAGTAAAGAATTGTACTTTAAAATTGGTGTCCATGAAATTCCTACCATTTATGTTAATATCAGAGCAACATGGGATAGATAATACAGTAAGTTTAAACAGAAGTATATTTATTAATAAAACTTATGTATTGTATTCTGTATGAGCACCATCAGTATCTCTGCACAACAGATATTTCAGCTGCACTGCAGAACACATTCTCCAGCATGTGTGACGTTATCTTTATAACAACGTCGGCCTATGTATGATCCTGTAAATATGTAGGAAATTTAAGGACACACTGTAGTATAGTTAATTTTAACATGTATCTGTTATTTCCAAATTCCTCTGGCCTTTTTTAAGCATGCACAATGTTGAACTTTTCTCCGACTGCAATAACAAATTTGTGTTCTGCTAGGGACATGTTTCTTCCATATTCCTGTGCTATTTTGTTAGAGGCCTTGCAACAGATTGACTCCAAACCAGGTCAACTACCAGATCAGTAAAATATTTACAGTCTCGGGATTCGTCATGAAATAAACCGACCAGAAATCGTAATCTGTAACAGAAGTCAGTTACAAACAAGGAATATTTTTATTATGTAATTTTGTGATTAATTTTGATACTAAAAATATAATTTCATATTTGTTTTTGCAAACAAACCATAATTTGTGTATCTCCTTTATAGATATGGTCTGAATATTTCAGATTGTGTAATTGACTTCTTTAACAGTCTTAAGGGCAATTTTAAAATCACCAAGCTTTAAAATGATCTTAAGAAGATAATTTGAATTTTTGTTATTACAACATTTAAGTAACACAAATATTTTTCTGCTTTGTGTTGCTTGCAGTATCCTCAGTTTGTATCCTGAGATGTATATTTTTTTAGCAGTGGCAACATAATAAAATGAAGCCTTTGTCTCCTATGTTTATTAAGTTGGTTGCACAACAGTTAACCTGAAGATGTCTGTTATTAAAAGTTGTGTGCTGTATTTAATAACTTTGACGAGATCTTATTATTAGTGTTTCTGTATGCACACATTTATAGTTCTTCCATACTTTAACAAATCTTTGTGCCTCGTTATGTTTTGATATAAACAGAAATTATAAACACTGCAACATACTCATACTTGGGAAAACAAATGTTAATACTTGGAAGTATAAAATTAGAATTCGCATAAAATTGCAAACCCACATTTTTTTTATTTTTGCAATTTCTTGGTCATATAGTTTATACCTATCTGAAAAAAAGAACTTTAAATGTTTATTTTAACTAGAAACTGGATAAATGTAACTGATAAACCTGATTTTTTTATTCATATGAGACATATCTAATAAATATCACATAACTGTAACATGAAGCTTAATTTATAGGATATACAAAAAGGACTTTCTGTATATCAGAACTTGTTAAAATTCAAGCATTGCAGTTATTTTGTAAATATTACTGTATGTCAATTAGAGCCATGGTTGTAGATTTGAAAACATCTGTGAAGGAAACCATACATTTTTTAAGCATCTTGATGATTTTTCGTGTCTAAATTAGCTGCTGACAGCAAACGGTTTGCTTCCTATCTTTTTATTATGACAGATCAAGCTTTTTGTCATAAGAGTAATAAACCAGCTTCCACACATGAACACTGATAGGTAATATAATAAAACTGCTTCAAGACAGTGTCCAAAGTTGAGTATCCTCCCAAATATTTCTGATTTCTTCATTGTCTTTTTTTTCAGTTTTGTGAAATTTATCTTGCAAAACATCCCTATTTCCTCTTAGCTGTGGGTGGAGCTTGAGTATGGTGCATACAACCCTCTACATTCTCTGGCCAGTCACACACATTTTCATTGGGGTTAAACACCAGGTTGGAAGGGCAAGGCATGTGGTGTTTCCGTTCTCCTTCGCACATGTAGTACATCGTGCAGTCTGCTTTGTCTGGGTGGTATGAGATATGACCATCTTCCTCTTCACAAACCACTGATGTAGCTGTAACAACAGTTAGATACGAAATTGTTTTGATGTCATCAGAACAAACTGCAACAAGTTTTCTTATCAGCAGGTCCACAATTCCACAGCCAAACCCGACCACCACAGTACTTTCTAATTTCCTACTATGAATAATACAGACAGTGGTTATGTGACTTTCAGAGGTTAGAGTTCACTTAATGCCATTTAACATATGGTCCTGAAATTCTGTGTGGTAAAAGACTTTGAGAATTATGCATGTTTTGGTCAGATGTCTTTTCTGTTGACTTTAAAGCAAGATCATAGCAGGCATATCAATTACGTATTTAATTTCTGGTCTGATAACACGAAGTAATGAACCACTGAAACCAGAAGTGTGAAGTTTTTTATGGAGATAAATTATGAATGCACCTACAGATTTTGATTGAAATGTTTGTTTGCTAATAATTATGAATACGTATGTTTCAGGTTATGTGTGAAAAATGGGTGTAGTTAGAATCTGTGCTAGTATAAACAAAGAGAAATGTATCACTAAATTGCATATTAATTAATCTTTAATCCCAGCTAGCTTTACCATATAGACTGAAGCATCTGAAGGGAAATAAGTGTCATGATTTCTTTACAGAACATCATAACTGCTTTGCTGAAAACAAATGTGACTCCATGTTACTTACGGTCTTTAGTAGTGTAAGCTCCACCTCCAGCAGTACCCTCATATGGTCCATCATACTCCAGTTTCACAGTGTAACCTTCCAGTTCCTGCCTCATTGCGCTAATCAGTGGGTACTTGCCAGTTCCACACTGTCCACGGAAGTCATCCATATCCACCGACCAAATCATGATACCTCCAAAACCCTCTTCTTTCAGCCAGGCCATCTGGAGGACAAACAGAAGAATGAACTGATGAGATTTTCGGTTCTCATGGCGGTGGTATGAAGATGATTGCCTTCAGGGTTGTTGCAATTCCTTACATATCCTTTCCAATTCATTACTCACTGATCAACATATCATTTGGTGCTGTATAGTCTGAGTTACAGACAGTGTAATTAAATAAATCAAGCAAATAACTACCTTTGTCTTGAGACTCCGCTCATCATCGAAGCCAACCCACTGGTCCTTACGATATGCGAACGGCACTTGCTGTTCATTGTCCCAAACAAGGGTTGTGTTTTCCCCATGCAGGAAATCGCACACCTACAACAAAACACTCCTTATTAGCACCTCCTGCATTCTGTCTGTTGAGTGCCATATACATTTTATAAAATAAATTCTGAATCGGAAAACCTGTTCGGTGAAAATAATTGGAGTTATTTGAAAAATGTATACATCCATCATTACTACTGCTGTTACTGTTATCACCATGATGCAAATGTATGATATTTTGTGATTCACTTTTCAAGACCAGATTTCTTATGAGGTGAGAAATGCATACAAATTTTTTGCAGGAAAACCTGAAGGTATGAGACCAAGACTTAAATGAAAAGCAAATATTAATGTAATTCTTCAAGGAACAGGATTGGACTGGATTCAGATAGTTCATCTTGGGGTCCAGTGGTGAGCTCTTGTGACATCCTGACCAGATGAGTAATATAATCTTCTCAAGGATGATACATAATAAACAGAAATTGTTTAGCATGAAAACAAAGTAACACACAAAAATTTTGATATACTGTTTCCTGTTCATAAAATGTTATTCCTGATTATGCTTCCTGGAATCTGTCTGAAAAGAAACATTGCTGCCACAAATGGGGAAGAATTAAAGCCAACAGTTAAAAAGTACATGTTTTCTGAATAGTGAACTAAAGTACATGGAAAGAAAGTGAAAAAAGAAAACTTGAAATGTGTATTTTTCAGTACCAATTTGGTGTCCATATACTAGCGTGTTTTCTTGACTTACGATCTTGATCATAAGTACTTGGGGCATGTGCTATGTAATACTTTGTTCTGGATGCTTGTGCCTGTTGAAAATGCAAACCTGTCTGAAATGGGAACATTTTCAAGCCCCTTGGGGTTTCTTTATAAACAGACTTTATTATACCCAATATTTTAGGTTCGTATGGTGATGATGATGATGTTGAGTGTGATCTTCTAGATTGTAATACCTCATGGTTTTGGTAAGTGGTTACAGATGTTTTGAAGTAACAATGGTCCCTACCTACAAGACCATTTGGTGTCAACAAAGAAAACCAGCTGTTTCTGTTTTTTCCATAATTTTCACATGATATGCTAGAATGCATGACAAGCACTTTATTGCTGAATGTTACAAAGTAATATATAGTACCTACCTCATAATAAGACATGAAGCCTGCTTCGCCAGTGTACTTGCCAGGAGTGCCACCTCCAGAGGCGGGGGCACCAATATCAAACTTTGTGGGATCAACAAGGGTAAAGGAGCGACCATATGTCGGCATACCAATCATAAGTTTCTCCTTAGGGGCTCCTTGCTTCACCCATTCACGTGCACTGAAGTCCTGCAAATAATAACCTTAACTATAAAGCCTTTTCTAATATATTCTCACTGTGCTCTTCTTTTGATAAAACAGTTTTTGGGAATTTGCATAATGTACGTTCTCAAGACACTGTAGACAAAATAAAAAAGGTGGCCATTGTTTCGTATCTGAGGCTCCGAGGCAACATGAAAAATAAATTTTTCACTAAAAACAAAGGAGTTAATAAGTTTTAGGAGAATATAAACTACATTAACTTTTATATGTTAAAAGTAAGCATAATTCATAAATTTGTCTTACCAACAGCTCTATTTGTATGCAAAAAAATATTTACACTTTCAACTGCTTCTGACAAGGTATCCCAGTTTTAAAAAATAAAATCTTATTCACAGTTTCTGTCCCTGTATGGTTTCAATAAATTATCTCACATATAATTTAGACTATTCAAAAGCCAGTTAAGGTAGTATCATGGCACATGCTGAGGTAGAATTCTCCTGTCTACTGTTGTCAGTAATTTATTACGTAACATATGTTACACCATTTTTGGGGTTATTATGATTTCATACTTACAACGGTAAGCTTCTTCTGGTAGCTAGTGGCACTCTCCAGTGGATAAATGGGACTGTTATGCCCCACCTGTCTCTCCCATTGTCCATGGAAGTCATATGTCATCACATTGATGAAGTCCAGGTACTTGGAAATCTCCGGAACATCATAACTGCAAAGATCAATATGAGAATTTAGAGTGCAGCATTCAAGGTCATGGAATTACTAGGTTGTAATCCCAGATCATTTTGACTTTTTAGGGTTCCAAAGGCAAGAAGACCTTTCTTTGGAACTCCTATTAGTGATCTGTGTGTGTATTTGTCTCTACTTTTATTCAGCTATAGTCATGTCATGACCACAAATTCATCAATTTTATGTGAAACTCGGTATGAGTCATACATTTTTGCAGTATCCCTTCCTTGATGCTTTTTAAATGTCATCAGCAATATATATGACAGCCATGTGAACTTCTGAGGTGGGAGAAACATGAGCACTGATCGCTACAGTCCTGGAGATAATTTCATAGAGACAGATCTTTGAAAAGCAAGCAAGTTTAATTTATTTCCTTTCTTTTACAGAAAACATAACATGAAAGTAAGGTGATTACATGTAGAATTTTAAAATGATTTGAGTAACTAATGGGTCAACATAACCTGCAGAACAACTACAGTAACATGTCATTAACGCAACTAATAGCTAATTTTAAACATCAGATTCTTTCTTCAGAAATTAACAGTCCCTTATCTGGTCACAAAATCCCCTGCCTTTTATGGACCTGAAGGTTCCTTACCACATTCGCAAGAGCCAGTCACCGGTTCCTATCCTGAGATGATAAAATCAGAAAACACCACCACACACTGTTTCTCCAAATCCATTTTCATATCTCATGCCAAAAATCCATGCAAGTCTGAGGACCTGAACAAATATTTTTAAACATGCCCCAGGCTGGAAAACTACTCTTTGTTCGCTGTTCACAGTTTCTTTGCATTTATCCTCCATATGTGGAGGCCATTTCTTCCATTTGCAGCCTGATGTTGTGCCATAACAAGGAACCTACTTAAATGGACTGTAGCGTTTTAGGTTTATTTTCACTACCATGAAAATCTCATATCAAGTAATATTAAAAAAACCATAAGGATCTTGAAATGACACCATATCTATTGCTATTATGTACTTACCCTGCTGCAATGGCCTCAAAGCTAGCTGGAACTGCAGCTGTGAGCAGGAGGCGAGGCTCTCCTGAGCTTTTAGCCTCACCTTCAAATGCCACACGTAGCTCCTTGAGCAGGTTTACATAGGCAGCCCGATCATCAGCTCCTCTGCAGACAGTTGACAGTCATTAATTCTTTAACTGCTTTGTCAAACCAAACAGCAGGACAGAATTGGTCAAATGGAAAACTTAACTAGCACTGCAAATATAATTAATAATAATATCCACACAATAGCATCAAAATAGAAGTCTTGTTTAACAGCTCCATGGTTTAGGT